TTTTGATAATCATTGGATGCTTTACATTTATCTTTTTCAACAATCCTATTTTGATTCAATTTGGCAAGATCATGTGTTTTATTATTCATCTTCGCAAGTGTTTGATAACTAGTAGGTGCTTTATATTTATCCTTTACAGTGCTACTTTCACTGTCAATATTGTTCCTTAAGATTAGCAACATTTGATCGATTTCAATTTCCGATTCATCCCCCCGATGGTTGTCTATCACTCTCTTTTCATCATCAGGTACATTGCAGTACTTTTTATTAATTTTGCATTTTGAGTTTTCATTATCACTAAAATATGCACTTGTTATATCATAGATCACATCATATTTATCTTCAATTTTACTATCCTTTATTTTATTCTTTCTAATTCCTATTCTCTAATAATAGTGACCAGCATTAAGTATTCCTTTAGTAAGTTGTATCCTGGGGTTTCTTTGATAGTTAATAAACACATTATGTTTGTCTTTTTCTACTCTAATTCTATCACAATACATTTTATTAGCACCACACAAATTTCTAGGCTTTTGATAAGCAGTCGCTTTATAATCATTTTTTTCAGTTCTGATTCTATGTTGAGGACAATATTTGGTAGCATAAGTTTCATTATCATCAACTTGGATTCCATTTTTATGGCTATACCTGAGATCAAAAGTTTTATAGCCAACACTATTATTACCCATATTGGCAATAAAAAGATGCCTGATATTTATTATTTTTATCTCTAATTCCATTTTCATAGCAGTTTTAGGGCTACTTTGTCCATCAGAATGTTCACATTCAACAATGTTCTCACAATATTCAAATGTCTTATAATCTTCCTTTTCAGTTTCACTTCTATTTTGATAACAGTAACCAACTGATTTTTGACAATGTTCAAATGACTTCTTTTTATGCGAGCCCTCAGATATGATTTTGATCTTAACTTCATTCTTTTGATTCAATTCATCAAATTTCATATTTATAACTTCACTTTTAATAGTTTTATCAATACAATCGAATTTGTACCTATAACCTTCCAGATCTTTATCCACTATTTGAATATCAGGTATATGTTCTTCGTTGTGTTCATTTCTATTGACGTTCTTTTATTCAC